GGTTGGGGGGGGGGGGGCTATAACTCATGGTACTTCCTGTGAAGTGTCATGAGTTACAACAGGGAGGTGCACATCTGTCAGTGCCCCCTGTCACACAAGTCTTGAGGATCCTTCAGCTGCATGAAAGAGGTATAACATTCTTTCAAGTCTATTAGTGCTGTGGAGCAGGAGTCAGCAACATGTGGTCCATGGGTCGGATCCATCCTACAGTACCTCTGGATCTGGCCTATGGAACCAGCTGGGCTTTGGTGACATGCCAGCATCAGAGAGCTTTGCCCATGCTGGGGCCAGGCAGCAAGGAGCAGCTGGGGTACACCTATGCCTAGGGTACAGGGAGAAGTGGCAATTCTAGGTCAGAACAGCAGGCCATCTCAGACCTAAGCTGGGTTGTTCCAGCCTGCGGCTCCAGAGAAGTAGCTGGCAATGTTTTGGAGCGACTGATGAGCGGCCACTGGTGTGTGTCGAAATGGTCTTTACATTGCAGTATGACCTACTTAATGACAGAAACAGCAGCTTTAAAAGGAGTAGCTACTGGCAGATTCAGGATCAGGGTGTGTTTATGTACCCAGTATGATCTATCCAGATACATGCTCCTGAGTGACTTCTTATCTCTGTGCCCAACAAACTTCTGTTAATACCACTATGATATTTATTATACATTTTCCCCAAAAGGGAACTATCTTAGGAACATAAAAAATTACCACGCTAGATCAGGCACAAGGTCCACTGAGGCCAGTACCTTTCTCCAACAGCAATCAGCACTAGATGCTTCAGAGAAAGATATTGAAACATTACAGGATCAGATTATCTCAAATTTGTGGCTTCTCTCTCCACTAGTAAGAGCTTGGCCAAAGCTGTGAAGCGGGAGGGTCAGCATCGCTTTCAAAAATTGTTTTTGTTATCTGGTTAAATGTTCTCTCCTCTGTTAAACCTTTAAACTTCTGCAGCCTGCTTTTCTCGGCCACACGGTACAGGATGTTTTCTAAGATTTCCTTTTGTTGTTGATACGGTTTTCATAAAACCAAGCATGGAGTTGTGCCAGCAGGTGGCAGAAGCCTGCTACTTTTATGCTTATATCCTTTACTCCTGTGGAAATCAGACAGAAGGTAATTTGTAAGCAAGAAACATATACAGAACCTCAGAATATGCTGCATAAGTACTTCTGGAGGGAGTAAGCCATTCTTCACCCCCACTACAACATAGTGTGATAAGTGACTAGTGGTTTGCTCTCTCCCATCCTTACTGATGCACACAAAGCAAGACAAACAGTAGTGTGGGGACTTGCAGTGTTTTCTTGGCAGCTTCATGGCAGACTGCAGTTTCTGCACATCAACTCCCTTTCACAAGTTGATCTCCTTTCTTTCTGACACAGCACAGTAGTGACCTAATCAATAAGGACAAACTCATCCCTTTGGTGACATGTGACAGTGCACCCACTATCTCCAACCAGCACTACAAATGCATCTCTTTTGAAGAGACTTTGTTCCTGTCACTTAAATGGACCGTCAGGAGCTGCAGCGGCAGAAACACAGAATACTGTCCCTCTTAAAATGCTGCCAGCTTTTACCAGCCCATAAAGACATCAGTGGTTAACCATTCACACTTAGACTTTTAACACAGCAGCCTGATACTAGTTCATCCTTTCAGATAAGGATGGCACTGGCTATTCATTACAGTTATCAATAAGACTGAGACCTAATTTGGTGGGCAGTGCACAAAACCATAGTAATCGTCCTTTGTGAAACCCCCCCAGCAGCTACTTGTGAGTGTTGCAGACCAAATAGTAATTAGTAATTGAACCTGTATAGGTGGGAGATCTGTTAGACAAGCTTTCAGGAATTTGCCCTTCCTCAGATCTGGGGGGTGGAAAAAAAACAGATACAGCCTAAGCTAAATAGTAGATAAAGTAATGACTTCTGTTTTATTCAGGGTCGGGCAAAATGTGGCCTGGGGGCCGGATGCAACCTGCCAGGCCATTCTATCCAGCCCACAGGGCTTCTAAAAAATGTAGAAAATTAATACTAAGTCTGCCCTGTCATGCGGCCCTTGATGGCTTGCCGAAACTCAGTAAGCAGCCCTCAGCCCAAAATAATTGCCCACCCCTGGTTTAACTCCTTTATACAAATAAGTAGTCACTTACAGAAGTGGAAGAGGGCTGTAAAACTGTGGAGTAAAGAGAAGTTCCTAGAAGTAGCTACAAAACAAATAAAGGGGAGTTGAAGTAGATAACCTAATTACATAAAAAAATAAGCTCATTCCAGAGGAAAAGGGTCATTGTTACCTGTGCAGTACAGAGAGCTTAGTGGAAGCAGCAGGAAATGGTAAAGCACCATAAGTCTGTGTTTAGTCCATGGTTTTTACTATTAAGTAAACTTGTTATTTTTTGTTCCCAGGCCCATCTTCTGAAGGTGCTCTCTAGCTTTCCCTTAAATACAAGGACAGCAAGGTCAGAAATGGAGTGGTTGTTCTGTGAAAAGCGTTATTCCACTGGAGATAGGGTATTTCTGTCCTTCATCATTTTTCTGTGAGATTTCATTCTGGAGTACATTTCATCTACACAGTTTCCCTGAGGGTATTTGGTGCATTGGGTGAGATGTCAATCATAGTATGTGGCATATGTGTAGGATTGTCAGAGCTTGCTTGTTTTCCTTGCAAGGGTGTGCTGATTGTAGTGTTGGTGGATATTTGCTGATAGGTTATTGCATTTGCTATTTAGGCAGGGTTCTGCTGTTCTTAATCATCAATTTGCTTCTGAAGATGAGTTGGGTGAGGCTTGGAAAGCAAGGAGCAGGAGGGCTGGGAATATGTCTTTCATGTCCCAGTCTTCTTTATCTATAGGCTGTTCGATGATCTTTGTTGTAGGTTCCATTACAGGACAGCATGTGACAGGCATGGGTGCACAGTCATTGGATCTATGGTATAGGGGTTCTTTTATATTGCAGTGGGCTTGTGTAGGGTATATGGGTGGCTTGTTCAAAAATGTCTGTTTTTCTACTGGAGTGTTTTTGCACTTGCAGGCCAACATCAATTTTCAGACTGGTGAAGTAGGTGTCGTGAGTCTTTTCCTCAGTACAGATGTGGTGATATGTGAGGGCCTCACTATACTTTAGAGCTTGCTTGGTGTGTATGGGATGATTCCTGGTTCTGCAGAAGTAAGTGTAGCAGTCTGTGGGTTTTTTGTGCATATTAGTGTGACATGTCATTGTATCTGGAAAGTTGTTAGAGTCAGAGTATTCCATATAAAATCCTATTGCAAAGCTTGAAGGGACCTGGAAACAGAACTGCCTCTCAGCTTGAGAATGAGTACCTCTTAGTCTGATGACAGTAAATCTGTTTGGGAGAATCCCAGTCTTCTTGTCCTGCTCTCTCTGTTCAGTCTTCAGGCCTGGGAAATTTGGGATTGTTCAGGAACTTAAGTTATATGAAAATACTGTAAAATGATAAAACCATCTCAGTTCTTGCTAACTGAACAATGGAACAACCTTGTGATAGAGAAGTTGAAGATTAAATACTCATGATCTTGGAAGGGAAGAGCTTTATTTATTTATATTTACAAATCTTGGCTCATTACAATAATCATTTTCTAAAAAATTAAACAGCTTTCAGTTGTTTTCACCTGCAATATGCTTCAGTCAGTCAGGAGACCTGCTTAATTGGGATATCTTCCAAGAAATCATTTTGAGCTCAATAAAACTCAGTAGAATGGCTGCCACTTTTTTGGAGCTGGAACATCTGTTTCATGTTGCTTTGAACTTTGGCTTTTCATTTCGGAAGGCCTAAGATTTAACAGCCCAAATACAAATATAGCTTTGTTCAGAGGTAGCTATTATTATGCCAATGGCAAAACAGGTTTCAAAAGAGAAAAGATGGTTTGGTGGTTTATTCATTGGATTAAAACATGGGAGCTCTAGGTTGAATTCCCAGCTTTACTACATATTTTCTGTGGGACTTTGTGAAATACCTGTTCTTCTGCCACAGATCCCTGTAAAATGGAGAAAATAATACACCTACACACTTTGTCTTGTAACCTAGATAGTTACATATGCATAATGATACCGTCTTAAGTTCTATCGCTCACTGTTTTTTCCCCACAGCCCCTGCCCTGCTTCATTCAATACACAGGCTGGATTGTTCTCACTTAGCAAGCAGCTAATCATAGATTTCAT